GGTTATTCCACATCAATATGGTTTCATCATCAATGCTTCTATAGGTAGTAAACCACTTTCTATTTGGGCACATGTGGTAAGAGCAACCCGAATCAAGAATCCACTTCCCGGAGGTATCCTCGCCACCCGTGACGACATAGCATTCATTATTGCTCTCTTCCCTTGAAGCGTAGCTCGTCTCTTCATTGCCTTCTCGTCTTTTAGTCTTGTTGTTGTTCTTCTTCCCACCTACTCTCTTGTTAGGATAATCGATCTTGAAATGCCCAACTTCACCGCATTTGAAATACGCTCGTCCCGCAAGAGGTCTCTATTTAGATCTAGACTTTCCTCCCTTGCCTTTTCCTCGTTCATTGCCTCTTCCTCTGGCAAACAGTCCCTGAGCTTGTTCCTTGTTACCACCAGTGGCCATATCACTAGTTGTAATTTTTTTGAAGATCATCCGCTAGAAGCGCCGTTCTAGTCTCATCCATCGACAAACTGTCGCCCATAAGCATCAGTGTTTGAACCATATTCTCATAAGACTTCGGCAGAGATAGAAGTAGTAGAAGTGCCTGATCCTCGTCTTCCACTATCACCTCAATATCTTTCAAATCCGATAAGATCCTATCGAAGTTGTTGATGTATTCTCGGATTGATGAACCCTCCTCCATCTTGCAAGTATACAATTTAGATTTTAAATAGATCCGGTTCGTTAGACTCTTCGTCATAAAGGTGCTCTCTAACTTTAACCACACACTCGCAGTCGTTTCCTCCCCGTCCACCAAGAAAGCTACATCTCTTTCAAGGTAAAGGATAATCGACGTCCGTGCTTCCAGATTCAGCTCCTCCTAATCCTCATCAAACATGTCCTTGTGCTTCTTCTCTTTTCCCGCCAAAGCTTTGTGTAATTTCTGCAAAATTAATAATTTTTTCATCTGCATCCTCCAATAGGAAAAGTTAATTTTCCCATTGAATTTTTTAATCTCGTACTTTCTAACTTTAATTGTTTTACTTGTAGACACCATTCTCCGCTTGTCCGCTTCTCTCAGGAATTTCAACAAATACTTTGTGTTTTACCACACAATAATCAACCACTACCTCAGATCAGTAGCTCAACCACCGCCAATCTGAATAAGGTCTCTGATACCAATTGTTGGGCGCAGAGTCACACCCTCATGCCGCGGAAGCACCTGAGAGATAGCTCTGCCTTTCGTTTTCACAAAAGCACAAGTCAACCTCTATATTCTTGTTTCTCAAAGGAAACTAGAATAGATAGTGAAATTCTTGTTTCTCAAAGGAAACTAGAATCGAAAGTGATATATTTCATCAAAGTGAAATATACACTCTTCCTCTCATAAGTTCTAGGACTGAAATGTGGAGGGAACCTACAAGCAATGGCAACTTACAGTTAAGACAATACAAACACGAGATTTACGTGGTTCGGCAAACTTGCCTACGTCCACGTGAGGGGAGTTTCACTATGAGGAGAATACCAAACTATTACAAGTTCTCTCTTCCTCTCTCTTTCTTTTCCTCTCAAGTTTCTCACTCACTCAAGAATTTCCCCACCACATTTCTCCTCTCAACCTCCCTTCTATTTATAGCCAAGGAGCAAGGGCTAGTGACATAGGAGCATGGGCTAGTGTACATAGGAGCATGAGCATGGGCTAGTGTACATATGAGCATGGGCTAGTGTTCCCCCCATGTTCCCAGCATGGGTTTGTCCTCCCCCCACGTTGTACTGACCATGCGTAAGACCCCTTCAACACGATTGTTCCGTTTCTCTTCTTCTCAGCAGCGATTTATTATGGCGGTGGCCATTAAGTGAGCTCGAGATTTTCAGAAGAAGATTTTCAGAAGAAAATCTCGTTCATTTAATCTAAGTTCATGTAGCGATTTATTGAAGAGATAGAGAGGAGATTTTCAAGTTGAAAATCTAGTGCCTTATTTAAACAACAATAGTTTTTGTTGGTTCTTTCTCTTGAGAGATCTCAAGTTTTGAGATCTGCTCTTATACAAGCTTTGTAATCTTCTTTAATATAAAGGAAATTATTTGTGTGGCTCCTGAGAATATAGGCAAGTTGTCGAACCTCGTTAAAACTCGGTGTTCTCTGGTCTTGCAATTAATTTTTTTGATTTGTTGTGATTTTTTTTTCTATTACTTAACATAAGATCCGGTAGGGCAAATTCCGCAGTAGGTTCATATTTGACAGGTGGTTGAGTAGCTTAAATCCCCAACAAAGGATATCAGAACTTATCTGATATTTCCTAACAGTAATAGGATGTGTTTGTCAACCCTTATAAAATTCGGCAAGGATCAGTCAATTTATTCTAAACCGGATCAATTTTGAACCAAGAGAGATTGGTCTAAAAAAACTAGTTTAAAAGCTATTTTTTGGTCTAGAGAAAACTGAGCTGGTCTTAGATCCACTTTAGATAAGCCGACCATGTGTAAGACTCCTTCAACACGATTGTTATGGGCGTATTACTCCTCTAGCTATTGCAGATAGACCCATCCACCCAATTTTTGGACTCTTTAATTCTTACAGGGTATATTTGTCAAAAGAATATTTTTCTCTTCCTCTGAGTATGAAAATAGTATTAAAAAAAAGGGATTCATCTGCAACAGTAAAGATAATTGGAATATGAAGTATAATTTACATATATCCATATGCTTTCCTTTAGAGGCCAAACAAAGGCTCGTTCTTCCTTCAGAGTGAATCAAAATCTCTCTCTCTCTCTCTCTCTCTCTCTCTCTCTCTCTCTCTCTCTCTCTCTCATAAAGAGCTCTGCAACAAAGGCATGTAGAGTTGTGAGCAATTGATCAGTTGAGGATGTCTTTGTTGGAGAAGCAGGGCACGTGCAGAGCCTCTGTTTCGTCGTGGGTTTGCACGTGCTCTGCTCCTCCACCATGGCCTCCTTTCCTCCGAAAAAGCATGCACGCGTGACCACGTAAGCACGTAAGTCCCTTTTTTTTATCTACTCGTTAAATACCGATAATCTTTTTCCCCCCTCTAAATTTAGTTAATATTTCAGTCATTTGTATTAAGCTCATTATTTATCATGTGCAAGTAATTTGGTGGAGAGGTTGCTTCTTGATTTATATAACTTCGTTCTGAGTACAAAATCCTGAATCCGCTATTGTTTTCGAGAGTTTGCTTTTGTGCTGATTAATTTGAAGCTTTAAGAAATTTGATTAATTTGCAAGATTCATGGGTGACAGTTTAACATTTTCCTAGTCTTTTTTTGTCATATCTGCGTGAAAATATTGATTTTGATCATTTTCGCTACGCTATCGAAAGAACCCACTTTAAAAATGGTTTAATATGCATAAATTAAAATTGGAAGTTGTTTTCCATATAACTACCCTATTTTTAAATCGGTTTCTAGAAGAAACCCATTTAATGTAAATTACTCACAAATTCATGTACGATGAAGAAAGTAATGAATTCTCTGACCTCACTCCTGTAATAATACTATGAAAAAAAATTATCTCTCCAGCGAGTGGGTGATTGGTGTTTGACGCGCCAATGACAAATTAAACATTAGTACATCTCAATAATATCAAGTCACTAGAATAATTCATTTATATGTAGGGATTTGGTGTTTCACTCTGATAGTCCTACTATTAGTTTCTAAACATAGTCCAATAATCAATCCATATAGTTGGAAATTAACAAGGACTACATTATTTTCTTTAGTTTATGTTAGTAAGAGTTGACTAGGCGATGGATGAGTTTGACCCTCTTCTTGATGCCCAAAAGAGACTTGTCTCCCTTTTAGTACTTGAGTTCTAGAGTAAAGCTTTGTGTCTGGTTAACATTATGCCAGCACACAAGTTGTAGACTTGAATTAGCTTCAAAGGACAATTGCATTCGAAGAGTGGAACCAGAGAATGATGTAACACCCAAAGTGGGGCTTTATGAATTCACTTCATGAGGTTTAAAAAGTAAAAAAAAAAATTATTTATCATTTACATGCATAAAGAGGTCCCTTCTTTGGTTAATTGAGACATATACCATGTACTGTCTTCCAATTGTGGATACACCCTTTATAGTTCTATGGTTGCAGATAGACCACCCGAGTGAAAAATTTTTGACTTCTTTACCAAGGGAGAAAGGGAATCCCCTAGGTGGTAAAAAAAATTGACCGATGTTGCATCGGGTTAATTCGCTATTAGCCCCATCTTTTTTTTGCAGAAATAATAGAGGCGTATCTAGGGTATGAGGAGATATACTTTACTTTTCAATCCTATGATAAGATTATCAACTTTATTTGGGAATATTATTTCCCCTTTGATATAAAAGATGATTTGATGTGTAAAATAGATATTTCAATTTGATTTATGAGCAAGATCCATCCAAGATTGATCTATCAGCCACCATTAATCACTCACCTAACTGGAATGTAAAGTTATAGAGATTCATATTGCCAGAAACACTTTTTTATAACAGATTTTAGGTCAAAAGATGCTAATCTAATCAAAAACGAAAGATGTGATATAAAAACCTTTCAAAAATAAAGGAAATCAGATGTCTCAGTTATACCGTATACGCAAGTTAAAGTGGATATGGTTTACGACACAATTCAATACTAACAAAAGCAATAACAAAGTCTTGAAATTGTACACTTAAAAACATCTCTCTAAAACTTGTGTGTTCTATATTTTAATGACATTCTTAAACCTTTGCGCTGAAAAGCCATATACCATCTTATTAAACGAACTGTGTTCTTGAAAGTAGTTGAGAGACTATTATTTTTAATTATAAACTGCCCCTAAAAAAATACATAAAAGACACTTGTAACGAATAGCAGCCGTCAACATGTTGACTGTTGCAATAAAAAATAGTACTCCTCTTACAATACACACCCGTGCGTTAAGTAGTAAACTAAAAATACAAGTGTCTTCATACGTGCATACCACGTGAGACTAATTCTAGAACAAAAGAATAGTATTTTAAGTAATAAAAAAATCTAAAGTGTACAAATAACAAGAATAATATTCTGCGACACCTGCAAAATTTAGCAAACAAAATACTCCTACAAATTCATACAACTTGGTGTAGTACCATCCAGTTTAATGACAACCAAATCAAACCACAAATATCAATGTTTCCGTCATACACACACAAAAAAAAAGTCACTTTATAACACTGATGGTTATTTACATTATTTCTGCTCTGCACCGTCAACCAATCAATCTCCCGATGAATAATGATTTGATGAACACAGAAAATAGATCATTTAGCCCAAAAAAAAAGGTAAAACAGAGGAGGGGAATCAAATTTTGCCTGAAACTTTAAGCGACGATAAAACAACGAAAACAACCCACAGGAACATGAAGTATGCTGATGTCAGCCAAGCCCACAGCCGGGGCCCACCAAGCTCAGCGCCCAAAGTTAGCCGTCGAAGCACCAAGACAGCAATGCATCCAGCAGAAGTAACAAAGAAGACGAGCAGGGAAAAACTGAGGCCTTCTGCATTGTCAATATATAGAGGTTCTTTGTACGCGAAAAAGTTGTATACGGTGTCAATTAGCCACGGGACGCCGATACCAATGTATATATTGACCGAGTTACTGTAAGGAAAATAAGAAGTATTAGAAATTAGGTACCGACTATCTGGATGACACAACCTAGAAGGTGCAATAATTATATATTGGAATTTTTTTTGGTGTGTGTGTGTGTGTGTGTGTGGGTGGATTTTACATTAATAAAAAAATTACATATATGCATATGTACAGTAACTCATAAATTGTCATAACTTGATGCTATTAGAATATATCTAACATCATAAGACAGTCCCATACCAATCACTCCAACCCTTAACAAAGTGACTAATATAATAACTAAAATACATAAAGAACAGCCAAGAGGTATGCTAAAAATCTTCATCTTAATGAAATGGAGATGCAAGGAAGGCTTTTCATGTTCCATGCTTAGTCTCTTGAATCTAATGATTGCAAAAAGCCACTCTTTTCATGGAGGGCCTCATGAATAGATATCGCTGCATTGACTTCCTAATCCTTAAGAGCACATCAACATTTTCATACCTACAGGTGCAAGAATTTTGTTAACCCACATACAGTGGTATTGTACAGGACTGGTGAGTGCTTGGATGCAATTACCACCAATTCATACAGTGCATAATGTCGTAACTCTTAATGTCTAGTGCAAAATGTGTTGCTACTCAATGTTAGTACATAATGACCAGTATAACCAACAATATTTCAGTTTCAGGTTGAGATAAGATTTTTTTTTTTTTTTTTTTGTGAGAGACATATTGGAACCTCCCATCATCTGGGTCACCCATGCGGGTCATGTCAGACACCTAAAACAGATGATAATTGTATAAATGAAAAAGTATCATAGTGAATGTAATACATTCACAGATATTAGACATGCTGTGGGATGTTGCTTCCATAAATACGTCCATCTCACGGATTTCTACTAGCAAATAACAGTTCATGAACACCATTAATGTTATTTCTTCCCTTCAGTCATCAGCAGCAGAATTGATCCACTCATAGTGACTTTTCTATAGGTATAAATGTATAGTCTTATTTTATGCCTCAACAATATTCATCCGCTCTGAATATCTGTTAATCACGTGATTAATACCATAAAATTGAATATTTCACCCTTTTCATATTCTGAAATTTAAGAGAACCAAGAAGTATGCATATCTTATATGATCGATAGTAGTTGCAGAGGAGATAGGTGCTATAATTTCGACTTGGAAATCTTCTCTCCTCCACATCAATCAAGCAAATCTTTTATCTATTTACTAAAACTATTGGAACTTGCACTGTATCTTCTACAGTGCAAATCCAATAGCTGAGTGTGTAGTTCAAAAAGTATAAATAAGTGCATATTTGCATCTATACCCAAAGTTCTACCTCAATTATTATGAAGTCCACCTACATCCGAAATTCATGCCCAAGATACGCCATCAACATAATAAAGTAATATAATGACATAATGGGTGTAATCAAAGGCTTTTTATCTTTAAACCCAAAGTTCACTCTCATTTATTTTCAAACCTATCCACTTTAAAAATCACTCTTGCACCCAAAATAACTCCAATAAATCACTTTTAAACCCATTATATATTTCATAAATTTTTTATATAGTATAAGCTGCAACTTTGGATAGGGTTTATTGCTTATAGATCCAAAGTCTTAACATCATTTATTTTTAAACCCACTCGCTTCTTAAAAAAGGTTTTTGTTGCCTATAAACCTGAATTTACGTTTATTTACTTTAAATAGACCGACAATTTCTCTCTCAGTCTCTTGGACCCAAATACTCCATACATAGTTTAACTCCCATTTATTTGAAATCCATCCCCCTCCAAAAGGATTTTTGACCTATAAACCCAAATAGCTTCATTTAATTTTGATACACCATCTACTTATTTTTAAATGCACTTGTATTTGAGCAATTTACAATACAGTGTAAATTTCTATATTTTATTGTATTTTGTTAAACTATATAACTGGTTAAATATGTGATGTATTTTTAGACCAAATACTTAAATTATCTTTTCAAATTAATGTGGAGTCATTGCGTACTATAGACGTGTTTTTTGCCTCTAAAGCAAAATTTTACATCTATTTAATTTAAATTCTTCATTTCCAAAAGAGTGATTTTGCCTATAAACTGAAATTTTTTTAATTTTAAATTCACTTTATATTTCAGCAGTTTGATATACAGTGTAAGTTATTATATTTTGCTATAAGTTTTATATTTGTTGTGAGTTGTTAGGTACACAATGTAATTTTGAACCATGCTTAAACTATTATGTTTGCTTTTCTCACACTGTTGTTGCAACATCATAGATGGATTTTTAGCATAAAAACCTAAAGTTTACCCCCCCCTCCCCCCCCTTTTTATTTTTTACACCCACCTCAAAAAGATTTTTTGCCTATAAACCCCAAGTTCATAGCCATTTATCTTGAAATATACACATTCTAAAAACTATTCTTGGACACAAAATAATCAAGTGAGTTATTTTTAAATCTATTTTTATTTAACAATTTAAATTTTTTGTAAAATGATATATTTTTGTTCTAAGTGGTTAGACATCTGTTTTTTTAACCAAACACTTTGTTCAATTTTTTCGATAGTTTTCACGTTAATGCCGCTGCAACGCGCGGGTGTAAATTTTGCTTGTTGTATCTACTGGTGAAAAGTACATATGGCTTAGTGCCTTAGTGGCTTATCTCCTTCTTAACAAAATAGAATGATGGCATCCACAAGAACACTAATTATCCATCTACAGTAACAATTGAAAACGAGTACTTAAAATTGATTGGCGTTATCAAATTAAGGTATCTCATGCAAAGATTAAGAGAAGGACAGACCTGCAAGTGATATTTGCGATGGCAGAATCAGCCGTTATCTGCCGCTCAGCAGCAATTTTACTGGCAACTAAATCAGGCCATGAGGTACCACTAGCTAATGCTGTAAATGCGATGACATAAGAATTTATGCCTATGAGAATAGGAAAAAGGAGTTAACAAGATGAGGGTATTGATGACATTTTAACCTAAAGTAAAAATGAAATGTTTGATCAAGAGAGAGAAGCAAACCTGTAACACAGCTTATTAGATCTGTAAGCTTCGTAACCACATAAGCTATTCCACTAATGAAAAGAAGCGAGCAAATAAAAGAAATCCAGCCGTGAGCAATATCATAAGGAGGCACGAAAGCAAATAGCAATCTCCACGGTGCAAGGATTGCTCTCATGATACACCTTACAATTCGCTGGTGGATATTACTCGCTTTCTTTGATGTCTTACTCTCTGACTGGTAACAAGCAATAATTAGAAAAATTATAAAACCCTTACACCCTTAGCTACAGCATGGATACTACGCAGATTCAATCAAAACAATAAGTCCCTTAAAGGGCCAAACTTAATGAATAAGCTTATGAATCCGTTTAACCAGCAAAGCTCAACAGATGTGTTGGGATTGTGTCTTGCATCAGAGTGAGCACTCGAGTGCAGTCGTGTTGGATCATGTGGAGCTTTGTCTATGAGCCAATTTGACAATTGATGATAGATTACCAGTGTTCTTCTGTAGAGCTATAAATACCATCTATGCTTGGAGTAAGGTATGGCTTGGCAGTATTGTTTGTGATAGGACAAATAGAGGTATATAAGAGGTGAGATACGACAAGGTGGAAGGAGGGTGGTTAAATCGTGGGTAACTCTTGCAATCTTTTTTGTTGCCTTCATATAGTGGAAACTCTCATGCTGTGTCCCATGGAGCAGGTTGAGTCTGGAGAGCCATTATCTTTTGTCATCTTGGTTCATCTAGGTGCTTGATGTTGTGCTGTTTTGATCATAGGACTACTAAGATCAGGGTACGTAATCCCCAAGAAGCGGTAACATGGCCAATGATGATGGATTAGAAATTTAGAGTTCAAGATCAAGATGATGGTGGTGCCAAGAAATTGATTGGATAAGGCAAAAAGAAGGAGGTGGTTTCTAAGGAACTTCTTTAAACATTTTAAGAGTAGTTACTTTGTGTTTATAGTCTTTCATGTCTGTGCAGACAATTTAGCATATAGTAAACAAGTCCAACAAAGCTTCAATACGTTTAGTTTCGTTATAGTAGAAAGAGGGATTGCTGGCTTGTTAAAGGTTATGATTATTACTGATGAGAGTACATAACATGCATCGGTTGTGTAGATTTATTGTGTTGTCATCTAGCTACATACATGGAAAATAATTGTCACATTCCTCCTTGAACAAAAGTGGAGAATTAACTGACTTAATTGTTTTGTATCTAAGATTGGTGACCAGAAAAAGGAGACTTACTGTTACAGCATCTACAAATTGTCGCTTCCAAGCAGCAAACAAACTCAATTTTTCTTCAATTATCTTAACAGTTGAAACTGATGCAGTGGATTCCATGAAATCACAATCTGGAATTGTTTGGTAGCTTGGACCTATAAAAAAATTACTTGTAAAACAAAATGACATTTAGATTGATCAATGATGTACATTAAAAGTACAGAGCATTAAAGATATACTACGTGATAACAGCATGCAAGCAGCAAACAGCAAATATTTGTCTCCAAGAAATGTGCACATTTACTAAAGACAAACTTCCCCAGTATTCATGTCCTGTTATGAAAAGTCACATAAACATCTGGTTTAATGCATGAATCTCAATAATATTCAATTATTGAGATCCATGTCTTGTTATGAAAAGGCACATAAACATCTGATTCAGTGCATGAAGGAGCCACTCTCAAGCTTGCCTCCAAGAAATGTGCACATGTATTAAGGACAAACTTTCCCAATATTCTGGGAAGCACAGATAGAGAAGTGTTTTTTTGGCTTTGTGCAGCAATTTTTAAAAGAATATCTAAGCAATAGTTCACAGAGAATATTGAATTGGTTGCTACAATAATTTCCAAAGAAGATTTTATCCTGAAGAAATAACGAAGGGGTTTCAAACTACTAAGCCTCCATTTCCATTTTATGTAATCAACTACATAAACATAGATTGAGAGTGTGGTAAGTCGGACATATTTCATTGTAGAAAATACATGTCACATTGACATTAGACATGGTACATATTTTACCATCAGGCTATAAGAATATTCAATCATCAGAAAATGGTGAGGGGGCCTTTGCTGCATACCTGGGTCCTTACTGGAATGGATAGAAAATATATCAACAATATTGGTATCGTTTCCCTCACTAACTTGAAGGACCTCACAGAACGCATTATCTTTATTTTCACACTCAAGTACACTGCCCTTTTCTGGAACCCAGTCTTCTGGCCTCTCACTTCTTGCCCTTTTAAGGAAGAAAAAGAATTCAATCAGAAAATACTCTGAAAAAAATAAAAGGAAGCGCAAATCTCAGCACAGAAAGCATACAGTGGAATAGATAAATACGGCCAGCGTTTGTCTTGAGCATATGCATGGAGCAAAAGTATTCCAAACTGCAAAACTGTCAATAAGGCCTCCAAGAGGGTGATCATATTTGGTGTCCAAATCTACAAATTAAATCAGCACAAAAAAAATTTCATTCCAGAATCCAGATACAAGATAAATGGTGAAAGCTTTGATTAAATTAAATCTTTCTTTCTTATTGTCTTTTTACTTTCTTTCCTTTTTTTTCTTTTTCCTTTTTTTCTTTTTTGGGTGGAAAATGTTGATTAGACTAAATCTTCCTTTGAATAAATATACAATTATGTACATTTGCAGTGCATATTTAGAAAGTTGAAGAAACTTTTCTTAGAGTTCATTGGTAGGAAAGAGAGATCACTAATAGGAGCTTAATGCAGTTGTCTTGAAATTCACTGGAATGAACTAAATGTATTACTAATTACCTCTAATATTATATAAAGCCAAAAATATGCCCAAAATGACCAGAACAGCTCAACCAACCAAACACCAACATCTGATATCTTTTTTAAAGAACCAGCTTTTGGGACTAGGACACAAACAGCATGGATAGGGAATAGGTCAAACGCAGCAGAACCTACAAGTGTTCCTGGCCCTAAACCTGAGAATCACAAGTAGATGGGAAGTTATGGTAAGGATGTTCTAATAGACTAAAAAAGAATAGTTTATATAAACTCAGGAAATCTATTAAATTTGGAGAGCACTAAACTTTGCTAAGAGCTTTAAAAATGTAACAGAGTTACATCATCTTTACAAATAGAACTGCAAAAATATAAATCTATTAAAGCATTCAGAAGTTGGAAGGTTTTTAGCAAGCATCTAACAGATTAGGCTCATCAACAAAGCATGAATCTTGAAAATTAGGAAGCCTTTTACCCATCAAAGATACAGCTAATCTGGAAATTTTAAAATCGCAAGCGTTGGGATATGGATACAGGCGGATCCAACTGAAACCAAACCGCATCAGCCTCTGAAACAGACAGGCTTAGGATCTGGGTTCATGTATGTAACATGGGATGCACAATCGGATGCATGTGCCTAACTTGAAAATCATAAATATATGTGTCACTTTCTTCTTTCCAAGCACATTAGTTTCTAAATCAGCTAAGAGTATCACATTGGTTTTTACCATGTGATCTTAGCTTAGGAGGTTATTGGGTTCAAATCTCTCATTTGCTGCAGGCAGGGGTTTCAAATTACATGCAGCGGTGTACCACTACAATTGTACACACATGTTTCTGAAATTAAACAAGATTGTTATTTCTCTTTTACAACCATCTTTAGATGAATAAACAAGCTCAAATGTAAGGGTGTGAGTTAGGTGTATTATCTACTGATATGCATAAACGCATACATGCATATGGTAATAGATCCGGTACATGAAGTACGCACATATATTTTAATGCATACATATGTGAATATGTGCACCTTCATATATGTTTACGCATACTTGTAACACATGGAGGCAAATGCAACCACAATTAAATAACAACAATAATGTATCTTGTAAGCCAAAGTACTGTAGTGACCTTATCATTTGTCTGGAGACATAGAAAACTATTTTTATCTTTGTATCAAGGAAAGAAGCTAAGCATGTATCCATAAGCTTTTATCATTAAAAAAACCCGGTTTAATTTGGAAAAGGGGAGACAATGATACTCGACGGCACATATAAATGTTGTGGCATTAATTTATAAGCCTACAAAAGCCAGGTATCTCTTCAGGAGATTTGTTATATCTGAAACGATACTGAAGTTCCACATTTGCCTTTGTGATTGATAAATTCATCTTATAGTCCAGTCAGTAGAAGCACTAAATAGTAATGCAAGAAAGCAATGCTTAGCATGCAAAAGAAGTGTTCCTCTAAGGAAATGTAAATGCACTTTCAAATGTAGCGGAACAACTTCAGTAACGATACTAATGAATAGCATACCTCCTGCATTTAGCTGACCAATATTTCGGATGGCATCAATCGTAGCTAAAGAAATTTGTGGAAAGCTCGTCCCAAATGCCAGTAAAGTAATATCTGCAATCACATAGTTCCAAAACTTTTCTCGTCTGATTACTTTAGTATTTGTTACCGGATCTATTTCCACAACCTCTCGTGTATGTTTAACAATATTCTCCATGGACTGGAAGAAACGAGCAGTTATAGCAGACAACCCCATGAAACAATAAGCAAGAGCTAGAAGATACAAAAAAGCTCGCATCCCCTCTGAAAGAGAACTTTCACCATGAAAAAGCAAATAATCTTCACATGTTTTCTGTGATGACATATTTACTGTCCCCACAGAGCTTCCCGCCATGCAATTCTCCAAGATATCCCTTAAAATTCAGCACACATGGTAGCTTGAATCTGAAAACAAGAGTGACTTATCATATGGTAAAATACATGCATTTCAGTACCGGTGTGTGTGAAACACATGAAGAATTGAGTTTGTTGTAATGGACAGCAAATCGACAGGGTTTATATGCTTGCTACGCATCTATGAAGCATACACTCCAAAGTGAGTATGGTACCGTGTTTGGCACTTTTCACTAATGTTCCAAAGCCATGCCAAATCTAAAACCCAAAAAGTGTCTACCAGAGCCATGCCGGCTTTAAAAAATACAAATATCGACATATTGGAATAATGTGTCACTTAAACAAAGTATATTGAGACTCTTACATAAGCAAAACACTATGTAATAGAAGCGCACCATAAGGTTAAAGTGGTTAAAAAAAGATTAAAATTATAGTTCTCTATTTGATTTAATCACTTGATTGGATCCTATAGGTCAAATTTTACAATATACTTTCTTTCTAGTTTTGATAGAACACATTCTAATTGCTGGGGTAATCAATGTGATACACATACATCTAGGCATGTGTCATTTAAAGGACGTTAAAAATGAGCCTCTTATGTAAGCTAAATATATTGTTCTAATAGCCAGAACATCTAGCAAACATGTGAAGACATCATAATTGTAGTGGGTGATAGAATTTAGTTATCTGTTTAATGACTTTGATCTTATCAATTGTTAGAAGCCACATGCTAAATTTCACAATATTTTTCCCTTTCAAAATTCAATAGAAAACTCGATTAGAAGCGCTAACTATTGCAATATTGCAATTTATATTTTTTTTTTGTTCACCTTCAATACATCAAAATATTCATCCATAAGTTAAAAGCAACTCTGGATTTTAAATTCGTCAAACTCAATAAAAACAGCGAGTTTAGTGTCCAATGCCAATATGCATCTGTGTTTACCACCGGTGCACAAATGCACACACGCCCAGGAGAATCATACTGATGTGGTCAAACATACCCACACCCACTGCTGGCGCACACAATCATGTTGCAGTGTCCCTATATTATACTTTCAAGAATTTATTGTGTCTCCATGTCCATGCCATGTCATGTTCGTCATTTGTGTGAGTGTCATGTCATTTACATGACTTGTGTATATGCTCATGTTAGATGTACATACTCAAATTGTAAAGTATCATTTATCTTAAATTTGTTTGGTTCCATGTTCTATATATTGTTGTTATAATGAAATTCATATCATCAATGCATTGTCCACAGGAATCATATAAATTCTGAATGAAGAACAATCATGGGTGTCAAGGCTAGAGTTGAGTCCCAACTCTAGCTAACTCTAATAAAACACATAATATAGAACAAGAGTTGGAGGCAAGGACGGATCTATGCACTTGCCCCCATAAAATTTTAATTTTTCTAAAAGATATACAAATTAATATAGGTGCCCACATAGAAATTTAATACGTGACTCCAAACTACAAAAAATAAGACCAAGTAGGGAACAGTTGTGAAGGAAATATTGTTGCAACCTAGTAGTATTTTGTTAGTTTTTGTGATGAAAATAAAATTGATTATGTATTCATATGAAAATGATAGAGAAAAGTTATGTAATTGAGATCTTTGTTTTTATTGTATAAATAAGTTTTTCCCTTGGTAGAATTTATGTTATATAAGTTATTACTTTATATGTATAGCTTTATATGTGCCCTCATAGAAAAAAAAATCCGGATCCATCCCTCGATGGAAGGTAAGATTTCATGGGATCTATGGATAATTTTGATTTTCTGAAAATTCTTATCAAAAACCACCTCTTGCATTTGATAAGAGCAGAGTGTAATTACAGCAATTCATCATTGGAGTTAAGACTAAATCCTATGCGCTCCTTACGTCGTGATATGATCAACCAACTCACCCTCCTACTAAAAGCCCCTAACAAACGCAGCCCAAGTCGCTCGTCCGTCCATTTCAAAAATCGATAACAATCATGGACTCTGAGACTCCCTGAAAAATCACCTGAAGGCAGCAATCTATCGCTAAAATTTAATAATAGAGCTTTTATTTATTTTTTAATTATTGGGGTCCATTTAGCCTCACAATGACTCAATAGGGAGTCAATTGTGGGTTTATAAGAGATTTAAATTATTTTCCGTTGCGACAACTAGCTTTAAGGGTTGAGTTCTCCTAAAAAACAATTTTTCAAAACAGACCCTTTTAAATTTTTATTTTTCAAAATCGACTTTGTTTTTTTTATTTACCAAAACCGACCCGTTTTTTTGATTAGCAGCCTAATCACATTTCTAAATAGTCGGGGTTGCCAACCCCGACTATTTAGGACTTAAATTTGTATGGTTTAAGGCTTTTAATTAGGGTTTAACACCCTCCTAAATAGTCGGGGTTGGCAACCCCGACTATTTAGGAATGTGATTAGGCTGCTAATCAAAAAAACGGGTCGGTTTTGGGAAATAAAAAAAACAGGGTCGATATTGAAAAATAAAAATTTTAAAGGGGCTGTTTTGAAAAATTGTCCTGACATCGTGTTATCTTTCTAACCTTACAATAAAAAAAACAGTATAATCAAGTAGTAAATACTTCTTAAATTCCAAACCTAAATGGTGCGAATAAAACCCTACGAACTAAACGAGCCCTAGAATTTGACAAAATATAGCAATAATAATAATAATCAATCCCTTTGATTACTTCACAAAATTAACAATGAAGCGAGAGAACTCGAAATGGGGGATAGGATAAGTGCGGCGGGGGCGATAGAGCTCCGGCGGAGCAGGCAGAAGCGGATGGCGGCGGCCGGCGGCAGCAAATCGAGCGGAGAAGACAAAAGCTCGGAAGATGGGAGCAGTAAACCAAATCTTATTAATTTAAGGGTACACGCACCGTAAAGGAACCCAGAGTGCTGGGAGGCCGGTAGCCGCACCCAAAAGTGGACCAATTAATGGGACCGTGAGCTGGACCGCTGACGTCTCGGATTAGCAAAGGGTATTTTCGTCAAAAAATGTCCCCATCAGTCGGTCCCTTCGCTTTCAGGACCTTAATTGGTCTGCTGCTTTCACGGGAGTACGGGGTCAACAACGTGACCAATAAATTAAAAGCTTTTTCCTATTGATTTAAACAACGGGGATCCATGTGGACAATTAGAAAAAATATCAATTTTGATTTGTGTGGGGTGTGGTTACTAGTCATAGTATTGTCGGCAATGTGGACAGAATAAATCAATTTCTTATTAGCTCCTTTAGGTATTATTAGGTTTTATGGACGTACAATGCACCACGTTGTTAAATATCACCATTAAATATCTTTGATTAATTTTTTTACTAAATTTTTTTTATCGGTTCCACTTTGATGGTTTTTGCTCGGTTATGTCTCTAAACTTTAGCGTTGTGATCATTTATTTTATTTGATGTTCGTTTAAATGAGCTATGCACAATTTAAATTTTCATGTTTATAATTGAATTGACAGCAAAAATATAATCTGAAGCCCATTTAAGTTATTATGTTATTTGGATCGACATAAAAACAAGCTTGATCTGAGAAAGTATAGTGTTGCAAAAGTGAAAAACACTTGAAAAAATAGCGTTGTAAAAGAAGAATGAATAATTAAAGCTAATAAAACAAGTTGATCGGTTAAAAGTGCGTTAAAACGACACAAAAGTAAATATGGAGTTTGTTTCTAATCATTGATAAACTTTAAACAAATCATAAATATCTAAAGATTAATGCTAACTCTAATACATTTTTATATAATAAAAGCATCTATATAAGCATATAAAAGTACTAAAAATATTGAAAATCTCTTCTGAAGATTTCTAATTTACTCAAAAATAAATATTCTATAAAATATTTAGAAACCAGTGTCTTTTATTCCATCTCTTTCATTTTTTATTCAGCGGACATCAGTCCTTCTCTCTCTCTCTCTCTCTCTATATATATATATAACTTTGAATTAAAAGTTAAATTTATATATGTTAATGAAAGAATATCAAACAAGTACCTTTTTCTATGTTAAGTTCTCAAATTTTAGTCTTTTTAGTAATTTAAAATTTTTGAGGGTGTGTTTTGTAAATTTTAAAACTTTAAGAGTATTTTCTAAAAATTTTAAATTTTAAGTTGGGTGCTTGTAATTTTTATGTTTCATGTGTTGGTGGTAAGTTTTCTAATATCAGAATATTTCTTGCTACTCTGAAATTTTAGGGTATTTTTTATAATTATTGAAACTTTGGATTAATTTTTATAAAATTTAAATTTCAGCAGTCTTCTGATAATTTTCAAATTTGATATGTACTAGTTATAAGTTTTGAAATCTCAAGTTTTTTTTTTTGTTATTTTTAACTTTCGAATGAGTTTTTTGCGATTTTATAACTTTAACATTATTTTTTTGTAAATTTTAATTTTTCAGGTGCCTGATGGTAATCCTTTGAATTTATCTTTGTTGTTTGTAAGTTTTAAAATTTTAGAATTCCAGTGTGCTATTTTATTATTTAAAATTTTGAGAGGCTTCTACAATTTTTCAAACGTTGGCTATATTAATTGCAAATTTTAAATTGTTTGAAGGCTGTTGTTAATTTTCAGATTTTATGTTTATTGTTTTAAGTTTTGAAACGTCGAGATGTTTTGTGTAATTTTAAAATTAAAGGTATTTTGTGTAATTTTTAATTTTTTGGGGGTTTTTTATAATACTTCATATATCATAGCATGTTGGTTCTTCACCTTAACAAGCTAATACCGTGGAGTTGTTTCATGTATTTTATTAATCTTATTTTTTAAATTGCATAGCCAGTTCATATGAGATTAGGATAGGATATAATTATGTTTAGGATGGATTAAGATTTAATGAAATATTTAAAATAGTGAAGGATAATATTGACCATTGAAAGCTATTCCAGAACTCTTATTTTGGTTGTTTTGTACATTTTCGAAAAAAAAAAAAAAGAAAACACAAAACCACGATGAAAACCATTTCTGTACATTTCAGAGGGTTTCCCCCCATTTGATTTATTTGGTTTGTCTCATATTGAAATTATATGCTGGAAAATATTGTTTCCCATTTCTTGGGTTTGTTTCAACATCAAAAAATTAAGAAATCAAATGAGTATTCTTAAAATATTCAGCGACGGGACATATTATATTGTTTCTCTCTTCACTTTTCACTTCTCGTCATCGTTTCAACAGTGCTTTGAGCAATATTATAATCAGCGAAGGGATGTTTCCCACCTATTTCAGCCCCAAAGGCTCTGAAATAGGTTTTCTTAAAAATCTGACATGGCACCCCGATGTCAGATTCCAAATCCTCCATTTCTCTCTTTTTTTTTGAGCAAACAAACAGCAGTGTGACTAACATTGTCACGCGTGAATATTTATGTGCAAGTGGGGCAAACTATTTTTATTAAATTTTTATATGTCAAAAGTATATGTGAGATCTTAAATCTGAATAAACTATCATCTTATCCTACATTAAAAAAAGAAAAGATTTTTAGTCATCCATGATATCATTTGTATAAGTTTATTTCTTAGAGGGCATATTACTAATGCAAAAAACTTATAATTTTAAAAGAAACAAACTTATATTATGTACTTGACATTCTTTTGGCTTTTATGCCGTACATATTATTAGTGTTACTTGAAGAAACTTATAATTTTATTTTTGTTCCTTTTAGAACCTAAATATAATAGATATCAAATTATATGGGCCCAAATCCTATATTTATGGCATTGTGTAGGGTGGAATATTCTAGAAAACGAAAAAGATAGAAAAAGAAAAAGAAATGGTCGCATGATATATTGATATGAAATATCCTATAAACAAAAAAGAATGAGAATTTGTCCTCTTCTCATTCAATTTTTTTTACTACCCTCACAATGTTCTGTATATTATAATATAGATTTGAATTAACTAAAATACCCTTATATTTTGAATGTGGGTTTTCATTGTCGTTCAAACTTTTTAGTATCCTAACTTGGTTCTTTGTATAGGGATTTCCTTTCATCATATATTTTGATATTAGTCACCCACATGGCCAGAATATGTTGATATTATTCCTTTGAGTTAGTTTGTGTTTGTTATATGTGTGTGTGTTTTTTTTTTTTTTTCGGGGGTAGAGTGGGGGGATTTATACCCCTCTTCTGCCTCACGTTTCTAACCTTTTTCCTCATCTTTGCCCTTCATCATTGATGCCACTCCCTCTCCTCTCTCTCTCTCTCTCTCTCTCAACCATTGGACCGCTCCAATGTTCTCATAGTCCAACACAGATATGGGAGGGTGGTGATGAAATTATCCTAGAGAGGGGTGAATAGGGTAAATATTAATCTAATCCAATTTAATGCCAATTTAAAACTTATTAACAATTTATTCTTGCAAGTATGATATACAACTAATTATGAGCAAGAATATACAATTATGAGACAATCAAACAAACAATATGATCACGGAGTTCGGTCCTTCCGACCTACGTCTCCGCTCCCCCACTCCTGGGGAGAATCCACTATCATAACGTGTTTTCAACGTTCACCCAAAACGTTTACACCTCACACTCGGTTTCCTAGCTCATCGAAAACTTTCACAACTTACACTCTTGCAATCACATTCTACACCCTCTAAGTGTTGGCCTAGCCCATGTTACCTTCCTCAACTGCTCGGATTTACAACCTCTTCCTAGGCTTAATACCGACGCGACTCCTCTTGGAATCAATCATGTCTCTCACCAAACTCCTCTCAGTGTACAAGTGTATTACAAAGTGCATCTCACAAATAAGCACAAATGCAAATTATTTGTTCTCTATAATGGATGAGAACTCAATGTAAGCTCACACTCTAAGTAACAATCACCACAACCCAAATAATACAATGTATGAAATACTAAAAGCTCAATAGGCTGTATGTGTAAACAAAGAGTAAAATCAAATATAAACTCAATTAAGATCTAGCTTATGGAAATGATAATCAAATGTATAAATAGCTAGAGATTGAGTTTAGAAAACTTCTCCAATGATAACAAAGAGATTGAGTTTAGAAAACTTCTCCAATGATAACAAGAGTGAAAGAGATGAGATGAAAGCTCAAACACGAAATGATGATCTCTTAAAACTTCTCCAATGATAACAAGAGTGAAAGAGATGAGATGAAAGCTCAAACACGAAATGATGATCTCTTATTCCTCTTGTGAAAATCTCTTCACATAAACTTTTGTAAAACGCACTTAAACAAACTTTAAACACCCTTTAAACTTGTTTAAATACTCTCTTGGTTGGTTGAAATGAATAAGGCAAAGGGGTATATATAGGCTCATGAAATAAACCCCAAAACCAAGAGAAAACCAAGCAAAAGGACAAAAATCCTGAGAAACAGGGATTCTGGAAACTAGTCGTTAATAGTGTTATGAGTCGACTTGTATTGTTCATGGGTCGACTCAAAACTAGCTGTTACAGACTAAAAACACACGTTATGGGTTGACTCATAAAATCATGAGTCGACTCATCCTACATGAGTCGACTTGAAGGATCATGAGTCGACTCAGTAGACGTTTCTGCTCTTTCAAGCATAGTTTATCAGTCGACTCATCACAGGCATGAGTCGACTCATAAACCTGCACAGACACTGTACATATATGAAATTAAGTTTTTGAGTGTCTTTAAAAATAGCAGATAAATTTAAAAAATTGTAAAACTTTGGGAAATATTTATAAACATGATAATGAACATGTTACAAAAAAAAATTTTAGAATTACACTTCCCAATGGTGAAAACTTGTCATTTTGCAAACTAGGTCAAAATACAAAATGTCAAAATACTTGTTTTTGATATTTTGACTTAAACCAAAGTTTTGAAACCTCTTGTATGGATTTATAGACTAAATAAAAGATATACAATAGTGTAAATAAGTCTTTAATCCATAAACATGTTATTTTGCAAATTTACAAAAACATGAACTCTGGAAAATAGAAAACATGATTTTATTGAATTGTTAAAGCTTGATATTGATGAAATTATTGTAAGCATGTATAAACATGAAACAATTTGTGTAAGTATAACTATATCCATTTTTTCGTATTTATATGGCTAAACACATTATTTTAAATCAAAATCGATAAATAGGAAACTAATATATATGTATATGTATATAACTATTAGTTTCATATTTATACGATTTAAACTTGAAAACGAAAACAATAAAAACAAAATCCATTTGTTTCATATTTATATGGCTAAACACATTATTTCAAAACAAAATCAATAAATAGGAAACTAGTATATATGTATATGTATATAACTATTAGTTTCATATTTATACGATTTAAACTTGGAAACGAAAACAATGAAAACGAAAGCAATGTGTGTGTATAGTTTTGAGCTCTAAGTGTCAACAACACACAAAGTATAAACACCTAAACTAATATACCAAACTATAGGTCTTCAATAAGCTTGTCTTGGTTTGCAGATGAAGCTTGATCTCAAATCTTTTACTTGAATTGTATTGGCTTCATTCTGATTTCCGCCAACCTCCATTTGAATGTCATCATTAAGCTTAATCCATCCAACCTCCAACATCAATGTTTGTCTAGAATACCTAATAAACAAATACAAACAGTAGGCAAACGATGCTAGTGATTGTTTGTAAATCATCATCAAAACAAATGTACTAACAGGTGATGGAGAGATGGTGGTAGTGACATTATCAATAAAAGGGGGTTTCTTGCAAAAATGATAAACCTATTAGGCTGCAATTTCAAAAGTTATTGGGGTTAATTGTGATTTTGATAATCTAGGGGGTTTCTTGCAAATGCTGTAAAATCTTGGGATTACTATCATTTATCCTTCTTTTAGGGTTATTTGCGTTTATACCCCTTAAATCATGAGTACATGCAAAAATAACCCTAAAGTTAGTATTTGCAAAACTACCCCTTCAATCATCAACTTTGTGGTAAAATACCCCTAAAATCAACAAATACTAACATGGTGCTAAATTTTTGATAATTTTGTTTATAATTTTTACATTGTGAGTAAAAATTAGCTTAAAATTTGATGATTAATTGCTTTGAGGTAATTTTTTCCAAAACTTATGATTGAGGGGTAGTTTTACAAATACTAATATTTGGAGGGTACTTTTACAAATACACATAATTTATGGGGGTATATATGGTAAAAACTCAATTTTTATTAGCAAGTGAGAGGGAAACAGAGAAGCTGGGGAAGAACGGATAGCAGGAGAAAGACTACTTTTTTTCCATATATTCAGCTTGTATATCATTCTGAAATATGGTATAAAGAGTGCTAATAGTAATTGCTAATAAATGAGTAGAGGTTAATTGCTAGTAAATGAGCAGAGGGTAATTTAGTGCAACTCAAAATACAGATGGGGGTTTATTTGCAATTTAACCCTCCGCGCCGTCGGGTACCCCGTGGGCATGTCCCATAAAGTCTAAAACGAATTATTCATGAATCAAATATGAAAAGAGGTGGAAGGTAAAATTTAGGAAAGAGGATGAAGTTAAAGAGGCAATTAAATATTATGTGTGTAAAGTAAATATTATGTGTGTAAGCTATCAGAAAATATTATGTCTTGGCATTACTTTACCCCCTATCATCTATTTTCTACAATAAAGGATAATAGTTACATACTGATAGAAACAAATTTTCAACAAATGTTGATCGATTTTTATCAAAGAAAATGACGGCCAATAAGTAAACATGAGATGCAAGTACTCTAACTGCAGTTGAAGTCTACAAAATAATCAGAGTCAAGACAGATGATTGAAAAGGCAGGCAAAAATCCTTAGCAGTTTCCCAAAGAATCCAAAATTTTCTGAACATGCACAAAAAATAACATTTAGTTCAAGAGTAAAGTAAATGTAAAATAAATTGAGCGACTCATTCTTCCTCCTCTCCTTCATTTTCTGCAATATTGAAGTAGCGCAATTCGTAGACACCGCGATCCTTGTTCGAGGCAATCACTCGCAGCCAGTCACGAACGTTATGTTTCTTCAGGTACTTCTTGGTAAGATACTTCAAGTATCTGAGAAACATAGAACACTTTAGTTTGAAACTCGCGGTATATATTTGCTCTGTTTTGAAACTCGGGTACATAAGTGTCATTTCGGAAACAATCAGGTTATGACAACAAACAAGATAAAAGAAGAGTGCATACATGGTGAAGATGGTGAAGTGCATTTTTATGTAAATAAATCTCTACCATTCTGTTTGACCATGTGAGATTGCGGAAATAACTAGAGTGGGAACAATTGAAACAATGCTATTAAAAAAGTTACAAGAGAATTAAGATGTTTCTACTGAAAGCAAAATGCCCTAGAACAAAATGAATACAAGAAACAAAGAAATAGAAAACTAACAAGATAAATTGATGCAGCAGTAAACTATCACTTGATCTGACCAATAAGAATGAGATACCAAAAACTAAGTTCCTAAACAGTAGCCTTTTTTCAGCAGGTCATCCAATGATTATACCACCAACATATTTAAATAAGGAAAAACAGACTAGGACACATAAATATTAAGTATCGGCAGACTGGCAGTTAAAAAATGGAAATCATCTTCCTCTAGAGCTATGATCAAAGTTGGGGGATCAAAAGAACTTCATTGAGATATAACTATAAGTAAAGAAAGTGTTGTAAAGACAAGCGAAGCCGATACTAGTCTTCAAATGCCTCAGGCATCAGACAGGAAAAAAGGAACTCCTGCCGTTCGGTGATGAATATTAATAAATAAATAAATATTATGACATTTAGAACATATGCAACAACTAACTTTGACATTCGGTAGATGATTGACACACAAAGTCATATAGCACATGAAGATAACACTAAGAACAAGCAATTATAATATCTAGCCATGCACAAGGGAAATTTAAGACGCAGAAGGCATGTCATGAAGTAACTAATTACTCAATAACAGAAAATTAAATCGCAAAAGTAAACAAGACAAACACTCAACATTGATATAACTAGTAAAGGAAGACTCGTGAGTAATCATTCATAGAATCATAGGATAAGAATCTAGCCAAGGACGGATCCATTAATAAAGGTGTGGGGCCACTTGCCCTCACAAAGTTTTATATTTCATATTAAGGGGTATACATATTTATATGCGTACCCCCATACAATTTCGATAGGTGTCCCCATCAAATAAAAATAAGACTATTTAGAGGATAATTTTGAAGAAGCAAAGGAGCACTGTTGAATAGCTAGTTTTAGTGAAAAAAAAAACAAAAACTATCATATATTGATATGAAAATGATAATGAAAATATTATATGTTGAAATATTTGTGATTAATGTGTAGATAAGTCTTTTTATTAGAAGAATTTATATTATATAAGTTATTAAGTTTTATTAATTTATACGTACAATTATAATGGTGCCCCCACAGGAAATATATTCTGAATAGGTCCTTGACTCTAACTAGATAAGTTGAACAAGTTACAAGCATTATGAGAGTCTATTAGCAACCTGATCAAGTTAAATCATAAATGGGCGACATTTGGTGAGAAAAGAATCAAAAAAGAGAAAAAAGAATAGCACCAAATCGAAATAGAACTTATGCTGAAAAATGGATACAAAACCCTTTGTTCAGATGGTTTGACATCAAAGAAACTAAATATGGACAGCCCAAAGAAATACATCTTAAGAAACTAAATGTGAAAAAGGATGTGGATGGTTGCATGGGACGGGTGCGGGTACAGGTACGGGATACGATAAATTTGTAAAAGGTAGGATATGGGGACATAGCCATACACATATTATATATTGAAATTCATATTTTATATGAGAGCAAGGATGATGATTAAAATTCCCATAACAATTATGTGTTTCTTATATTATGTGGATTATAGATTGAAAAATCAATAGATTTTGAACTAGACATCCAAGCAACCCTTCAAAATCATAATTCGGATAATTCGGAAGCTGACCTATGTCCAATGAGTTTCAAGAAGTGGATGTGAAGTGTAGGATATAGGTCCAAAAAAATGTATGACAAGTGTTTAAATTAAAACATGTATTGTGTAACTGAGTACATGCCCGAATAAATGCATGCACATATGCAGAGTGTCCAATGTGTTTAAGTATGGGTATGGCTTCAGATTAGAAGTACCCAGATAACATAGGAATAACCCCTTAAGATATTAAGTGGCAAGAGAGAATCAATATTGTTTGGACAAGTACAATGGAGGTCACTAAATGCACCAGTTAGGAGAAAATATAAGATTATAATTAATGGGGCAAACCGGCAAAGAGAACTAGAGGACTTTGTTTGAAGCAATTAAGAAAGATATGATCAGGATTCATGTATCCGACCTGAAAATTTTTCTAGGTGATCACAGATATTTCCTCTTGCGCAAAGGACCCTTTAATACCACTACAACATTGTCACAACATTTGGCATAACTATTTATGATAAATGCTCATAGTAGTGTATAGGATTCAACTAACAAATTATGTGTCATGACTTCACCAATAATATGTCAACTTAATATTTTCGAATGATTGCACGCAGATCAACAATGATTATGGAAGGGGGGAAAAAGAATATGAATGCCAGTTACTCATTATGAAAATATATCACATCACCACTCATAATATATGCCTGCAGCAGTGTACAGGATTCAACCAGCAAATTACTTTCGTCATAAATCTCTCCATTCGATTCGATGTAACCCTAAAAATGAGATTTTTCTTACCTTTTCGAGAACGCGCCCTCGGAAGTCACAGTGACCTTGCTCTTATCTCTGGTAATGGTGACGGCATCGCCAAAAGCTCCGGCCTTGCCGCCGGCGACCTTGATGCGCTCCTGAAGGAACTTCTCGAGGGAGGCGATGTCCATGATCTTGTCCTCCACGGGCTTCGCGCAATCGACGACGAAGGTTGACCCCTTCTTCTTCAACCCGCCCTTCGTTCGCGCCATTTAGGGTTCTGGTGTTGGGGTCGAGAGGCGGCGGGAGACTTTTTAGGGTTCGGGCTTTCACAGAGAAGTGAGATTTCAGCGTGGGGTTTATATATGGGCGGTGTGGGAGTTTGGAGTGGATAACTACGAAAGAGTCCTTTGCTTTGGGCCGGAGTTTGGACTGGGCCAATGTGGATAGCGTGCTGTTTAGTTAGTAAAATTATAAACTAATATACTTTTTTTCAAACTTGCTCCGACTAACTCGTTGACGCCAATAATATTTTTTTTTGAAGTGACATTAATCTTTTTTAGGTAGTAAAATGACCTGAAGTGTTTGTTGGCAAATGCACAATATGTAAATTTTAGTTCTCTTCAACTTGTTTGTAAATTGTAATCAATTATTACAAGTAAAATATTAATGCACTTTAGGATAATTTAGATGATAACATGAGATGAATGGCAGAAACTAGTTGGAATAACCAGATTATTTATTTATAAATACTTTCTTAATAGTACTTACATCTTAAAGGATGTGGATTATCAATCCGCAAAAATATGAATTTGAAATTTGAGAAAGGGTATCCATATCTTGGCAGTGGCAGACACAGGCAGCTGCCCAGGACAAGAAAATGAAAATATATATCCCTCCCTGAGAGAGAGGGCAGGGAGGGATCCTGATGGGCCCATCAGCCCTCGGCCGCAACCACAGATTTCTCGACAAATGTGTTCCCCAAACACAGCCTGACGATGCTCGACACAATCGCCAACATCAGCCTCCTCTACTTCCTCTTGCTCGACACAATCCCTTTATTTTTCGCTCAGGACAAAAAATAATCCTGGCTACGCCACTGCATCTTGCATGCTATCGTGCCTAGCTCAACTATAGGTTCCCTAGGTGTGTTTAAAATAAATTCCACTAAGTCCCTATAAACCTACTGGTTTTTTACCGTACATCTTGGAAGTTATTCCACACCGAGTTCAACTCGACTCAACTCAAGGAGCGTCTCATAAAATTTTCTTAAACTTTTAAATTATCCATCCAATGGACCTCCCTAGCGATGTTAATGAACTATTAATCATTATTTTGTGAGAATTGTGGGGTACAAAGTTTTCTTAAACTTTTGTACGCGAGAATAATTTTTTCCTTTTTGTGACAAGGGGTACAAAAGTGTTAAAGAAAATAGGTACCAAAGTGAAAAAGGGCCAAACTTTTTGGGGGCACCAAAATCTCACCTCGAACCAAAATCTCACCCCGCAGCTTCCACAACGAGACCAAGAAGAACAATGCCCTTATCCCTTGACTGCAGCCTCCGCGGCGACCTTCCTCCGCCGCCGCGCGCCCATCACCGTCTCCGCCGCCGCCAGTGTCGCGGACCGCGGCTGCTCCCTTCAATGGACGCTGAGCTTCTAGATCGAGCAGCAAAGCTCGCCGACAAGTCCGCAGGCCTCACATCCCCTCACCCTAACTTCGGGTGCTTGATCTCCGCCGCCGGAGGCAGAGGCGGGAAGGCGGGGGTCGTCGGCGAGGGTTTCCTCTACGCGCAGGGCACGAAGTGCGCTGAGCTCCAGGCTGTCGAGACCGCCGGCGAGCTCGCCCGCGGAGGCACGGCGTATCTTAACATGGAGCCTGGGGATTGCTACGGCGATCATACTCCTGTATCCTCCCTGATCCAGGTTAGGTTTTGATAATTTAGTTGCAATTCAAGTTTAGCTTGATTTGATCTAATTGCCTCATACATTGGGTTGAGATAAAAATAACCCCTTGCTTCAAAATTTTCACCCAACTGATTGGTTGCGGTATGAGTCTAGCTCTTGATGCATTCTGTTTGCCTAAATTTGGGATTTTGGGTGGGGATTTAGGCTGCGAGTGAGCAAATATAGATTTTAGTGTTAGTCACTTAGTCCTGATGAAATATCTGGCTACGTGAGTTTCTAGCGGATCAAGAAATAAAAAGTCTTCTTTTTTATCTTCTTTTCCTCACCATGATGTGTAGGAATGTAAGTTATCTGCTTCATCCATGTAGCATTGATGCATTTTTATGTCAAAAGTTCAATATATAAATAAATAATTTTGATGAGAAAGCTGGATATTTATGTCGAACATTGCTTAAGTTGATCACCTTCCGAACTGTCTTGGGTCAACATGATGCATTTAAAAAAAAAATTATACCCATCTGGTGTGTGTATCATACTTCTTTAAATGTTTTATAGGATTCCTTTTATATATGCTAATATTATCGTCTTTTCTTAATATTGCGTAAAAGGATGGGTCATAGTTGATTGGTTGCGTAGTTTTCTTTCTTCTTCTTCAATGGGTTCAGTAGTTAGTAGGTTGCTGACGTTAGCAATTAGGCAGGGATTTCGAGGGTTGTAGTGGGCATGAGACATCCGCTGCAGCATCTGCGAGGGGAGGCTATAAGATCATTAAGAAGTGAAGGAGTTCAAGTTGATGTCCTTGGTGAGGATCTGCAGAGTAAAATATTCGAGGTGATTCAATTTTGAGCTACTTTCATATGTACAGTTTGAGATTTTTATACTCACAAGGGTACTTTTAATTGGAAACTGCAGGGAGCATTGAAGTCGTGCCTCAATGTAAATGCTCCGTTACTTTATAGATCTGCCTTTCATGTTCCATTCTCTGTTTTCAAGTATGCAATGACCCTGGATGGTGAGTCTTGAGAATGTATTAGGTGTCAGTTCTGTAGTCCTGTTATTGCCTGAGTCTTGCGAAGATCGATAAAAGCTTGTATACATTGTTTTTACATCTAATTTGAAGATTTCTGATTCTGGCAGGAAAAATTGCAACAAGTAGTGGGCATGCATCTTGGGTGAGTAGCAAGCAGTCTAGAGTTCGAGTATTTGAGTTGCGGGGCAGAAGTGATGTTGTGATTGTTGGAGGAAATACTGTACGTCGTGACGGTATACACCTATATCAAGTTGCTATTGATTCTAGTCAACTGCACATGACAATTCTCATATATTTTTTAATAAATATGGATCTGTGATTTTTTTGTACTTTAAATTAATTATACTATTCTAATATTCAATAAAGAAAGAAAATAACAAATAAAATTAGGAGCAGAAGAAGAAGTGATCCTATCTGATGGTGTGGTGTGTTGATGGGTAATCACCATTAGAGGAAGAGAGGGTGGAGAAAAGAAAGAAAAGATGAATTTTTTTTAAACAGAGATGTTATTCTAGTTTTTTTACCACATAGTTCTAGCTAAAACTTGGGATAATTTGAGAGGCTAGCACCCTCTCTTTTGTATATTGATAGGATACAACTGAGACAATTTTTCACAATTATCTGAATGCTACTTTTATACAGCTGTAATTGGCTAACACCTTAAAATTTTATCCCAATTCTAGTTCATTGATTAACACTATGTTATTCCATATCTAATTTTGAGTTCAACTAACCCTCCTTATAGAATTGCTTTCCATATAAATGCAGATCCACGGCTAACTGCCAGGCATGGTGGGGGCCACGTTCCTGTTCGAATTGTAATGTCTCAAACACTTAATCTTCCTGAAGAAGCTAACCTTTGGAATACCTCTGATGCATACACTATTGTTGCAACTCAAAGGGGTGCACGGAAAGATATACAGGAAAAACTTGCAAGAAAAGGTGTTGAAGTGGTGGAGTTTGATTTTTTAGACCCACGAGAGTTCATGGAGTATTGCTATGACCGCGGGTATCTTCAAGTGTTATGGGAGTGTGGTGGGGGTCTCTCTGCACCGGCTATATCATCTGGGATAATTCATAAGGTATAATCTAATTAAGGTTCAAGATATAATTTTGTTATCGGCTAAAATGAAACTAAGCTGTCTGCAACTTTGCTTCAAAGGATGTACCTACAAGATGAGTTCCATTCTCATTATCCACAAAGTTTCAGTAGGATCATTTTTCCCCCCTAGATCATGGACAATCAATATGATCCTTTTGTTAATTTTAGTTGTTGTCTTATCATAGTAAACAATTTCTGTTATCATATTCAACAAAAATTATCACATGTTCCATTTTTTTCGTCTTAAGGTCCAGTTTTTATGCTTTCCCATGGGTTTGACTGTATTAGAGTATTTAGTTTTCATTTCACTATATGTTGATTCCTACTCTAAAAACACTTAAATTTTATTTTAAGCTTCGTATACAATTTCTTTGAATTTAACCGTGATATATAGATGGCAAATGACCTCCATGATTTTTTTTATTTTTTATTTTTTATTTTTTATTTTTGGCCTATAAGAGCCTCCTTAAGTGTATCTAGTTCTGGCATTGATCTACTGCAGTCAAGCTGTAAACTTTTGTCAATTGTTTTTTTTTTTCTTTCCAGAGTGCTCATGTGTCGTCAACCTAATGATGGCCCTTAAGAAAGCTGAATGGAGGAGAAAGATTCCTCCAGCCACCCCAAAATATTTGAAATAAAAAATTTATTATTGTTGTTATTGTGATTTGTTTTCTAGCTTCAAGATTGCTTATTAAATCATTGGTTTGCTGATTCATTCATTCAGAACTTTCTGGTCATGGGCTCCATTGAAAATTATTTGTCCCATATCCATTCGATATGCAATTTCATTTTGAGGTAGTTGATGAAAAGCAAGGATGATGTAGGCTGACGAAACAACTTGGTCTTGCCTAAAATCCTTATTTGCATAGTATGGAATCATACACTGACATCCTTTTGTAGTATTGACTTCTTCTAGTGAAAAATGATATATCTGTGCAATTTAAGGATGTAATTCCATATTAATGTACCAAAAAAAGTTCTGTTTGCAAGTATCTGAAATGAACTTGTCTATTGGTGTAGATTTATGCATTTGTGGCCCCTAAAATTATAGGGGGAGTAAACGCTCCATCGCCTGTTGGTGAACTTGGAATGGTTCACATGTCCCAAGCACTTAATTTAATTGATCGAGAAGTTGAGCTGGTAAGTTTTATCATCTTTCCACTCATATTTTTGCTATTATAATGCTGCAAATAGTTGCACCATGTTGAACTGATATAGCGAGGGTTTGGCTCGAAAAAAACTCATAATTTCAGTATCTATTGTTGTCTTTTATATCAATGGATTTTAGTATATCTGCTAAATTGAGAGTGAATTAACTTTGGATGTTTATTGTCCTTTTGTGTGGATGACAGATTGGACCAGATTTACTTATAAGTGGTTATCTTCAGCCAATTCCGGACCTCTCACCCATGATCCCATCTGCTGATACAACTTTAGCTCTTGATCCTACGGTTTCCCCTTATGATGCAGACATTATATTCTTTTACAAGACTTGGGATCCATATGGCGCATTATCAAATTTTTCTCCTCACCCTTTGCAAATGCCTGATGGAAATGGAGATTGCACTACATGGTCTACTCTGGAACACTATTATCAGGTAAAATCTTCTAGTTCATGTATACTTAATTTCCAATGTTAAACTAGTTTCTATATGCTGGTGACAAATTGAAAATATTACTGTTTTCAGGCAAACAAGTTTTGGCGGGTTAATAATCCTCTAGCAAAAGAATTTATTCAACAAATCAAATATGCTAAAAGTCCTGAAGAAGCAGCGCGGTTGGGGAGGAAATTGCAGAGGCAGCACCCTGATGTGGTATGCTCTTCTTAGAAAATGTTGTATATGCAAATACACAATTAATTGTTACATACATGTATGCTGCATACGCACTTATACTGTGACATAAGCTATCATTCATCTAAGACATAAATTAAATAAATAAGAAAAGTGCAAAAAAATAGATAATTCAAAAAAATAATGATAAGAGTTAGAAACAAAAATTAGAAAATATACAGTGCCAAACCACATACATGATGAGTTACTCAAAAGTAAAAATTCGTGTTGACATCCAACTTCATGACAATTTAACAATTCATAAGGAAGAGACAACAACAGCAGCAACATCTAGGCCTTTATTCCAAAATTTGGGAGTTGACACATGAATTATTTTTTTCCTTGCAGTTTTGTTCTTGGTTGTGTCTTCCGTTAAATGAACCATATCAAATGAACCATATCACATCCTTCTAAGTTGCCTTCCCCCAAGTTCCTTTTAAGCCTACCTCCGTGCTCAGTTCTCCCTCATTTGATCCTCAAATGAGCGACCTTTAATTTTCGATATGCATCCATTTCTTATGCTCAGTTATGGCACTCATTTATCTTGGCATCCCATTTCTGCCATTGTCATTTCTAACATGTTATTTCTTAATTATTCAACATTGTAGAGCGATCAATTGGTCTTGTAACCATTCTATATAATTTTTCCTTCAATTTATAGGTAAATTATGATCATATAAAACTCTAGAAACAGATAATTCCTTTGCTGTTGTAATACTTTCCAGAACAGATCTTTTTATCTACCATGCTTATTGTGGTAATTTGATCAGCAGTGACATTTTGATTTTGTGGACCTTGCAAGTCTCCTTCTACGCCTTTACAATCCTAACATTTTTGTACGCATATATCCCATAACCAACCAGAGAAGCCAAAGCCTGATTTGCTGAATGCAGAAAGTCTTGTATTACCTCAAAAGTTCTCATGTCCAACAAACGATGTCCTTTATATTTGTAAAGTTAGGTTAATTGTGGATGAATACCTTGTACTGTCGCCTAATTGCAGATAGGCCCCCTGTAGGTCTACAGATAAACCCTCGAGTGAAATTTTTGACTCTTTAGATGGAGAAAGAGATTTAGAGAAAGAGATGTCTTTTTTTGGGGTAGTTGTGAGAAATAGATGTTCGGAGGGTAAGAGAGTAAAATAAATTGACTATGGGGGTCATATATGCCCTTAGGCGATAGTGCAGGTGGTCTAGCCGCAATAACAGAACTACAGGGAGTCTATCCGCAAATGGGCAATAGTATCGAGGGTCTATCTATGATTTACTCTAAAGCTCAATTAGGAATCATGCAATTTCCTGTCTTTATATTGATAAGAACAAATGAATCATTCACAGGTTAGAGACGACTGGGAGGATGCGAAGATTGATGTTATGTATGAGGCTTTGAAATGCAAGTTCTCTACATATCCTCATCTCAATGCTATGCTGCGCTCAACTGCGGGCTCTGTTTTGGTTGAAGCTTCACCGCACGATCTCTTCTGGGGTGGTGGTCGGGATGGCGAAGGCCTCAATTATTTGGGAAGATTGTTGATGAAATTAAGATCAGAGATTTTGGAAGAGACTGCTGTCACTGCTGGGGTGAAATGAATGTCTATCTACTTTCTAGTATTGCGAAGTAGAGATTATTTATCGTGGTGTGCAAGTCATTTTTTTCTATAGAACGATGAAATAATGCTTGTATTATTTTAATAAAGTATGTATTTTTCCTTGTAGTAATTTTGTAAGAATACAGGAATGCACAATTTTCGTTGTGTTCATTTGTATTGCTATGTATAGGAGAATATTGAGCAATGGATGTCTTATTTTAGAGAAGGTCGAAACAGCTTTTCCCTCTCAATTTATTATTTTAATAAACTCCATATTTCCTGTAGTATTTCAATACAGGTAGCAGTTTTTTGTGAAATTTATTTGAATTTCATAATTTTCCTGATAGTATTTTTGTAAAGAATGCGGGAGTCGCAATTTCTTGCCGTATTTATAGTGCTATTTAATGGAGCAGAAGATGAATAAAGCATGTTTATTTCTTTTATTAGTGCTGATCAAACCATAAAATGTTAAACTTTCCTTTGCCCCGATTAACATTTTCTGTTAAAACCAACCAAACAGCCTCTAAGAATGTAAGACTTTTGTGCTAGTAGATGCTACTGTCTACACAGAAATTTCCAGGTGAATACTAGTGAGAATAATGTTAAAAGTCGTCGATGTTGCTTAGCCACTTACATAGTCGAAATACATTTGAATAAGAAAATCAGAAAAAATAAGCACAACAATTGTAAGCGCAAGAAGTGCGGGAAACTTCACATAGTCAAAATACATTTGAATAAGAAAATCAGAAAAAATAAGCATAACAATTGTAAGCACTGCTGAATACTACATTCTCAGTACAATGGTTGGAAGTAAACAATATATTGTAGAATTGAAATCTACGACTCCCCCTTGCTAAAAAAGGAGCTTCATGCAATTGCAATAGTACAACCAGTCAGGAATTGGTCATCCTTTTTATGTGTAGATCAAGTATACTTTCAAAAACTAATGTAATTAAGGAATAATAGCAGTCAAGCAGTTGCTGGGTATCTTTAGTCCCTGTGTTGATTTGACAAAAATTGGTTATCATATTTGTCCATCTTCGGCCCTGAACTGGATTGACGATCAAAGTACTCGACTGCTGCTGCTCCAACTAAAGCAGCCAGTGTGAGAGCCTGAGCATTCAACCTGCAAATTTTGATTTTATTAGGAAAACTTTCAGATTTACTCACATACGAAACTTATTAAGGACTTAAGAAACTCACAGAAACATTGCTAGAATATTATAGAACAACAATAAAGTACCAATTTTAGAGTGAATGACAAGTATCAAAAAATTATTAAAGGATTATATATGTAATGTGACAAGCTTCTACCGTTCATGCACAGCTTTCATGTGATCAGAGAACTATTAAGGCATTATATATTTATATAAGTAATGTGACAAGCTTCTACCTTTCATGCACAGCTTTTATGTGATCTTTTAGGAACTTACAACGTATGGGTGAAGATGGTTAACTAGAGCGTGGATGAGAAAAGGAGAACAAAGATGCAGTAGAGAACCTATCATTTCTGAGATGCAGAAAATAGGTGAGACAGTGCATGACATGAGACGGTGCATGACATAATAAAGTTCCCGTTAAGTCGTAAAGCATACAGAGGGGCACATTGTTGGCATTAAGTGGATCATATTGAAAGAAAATGTATATGCTCCTCTTATTGTATGATTTATAAATAGTGTCCACGGCCATTTGGTCAAACTCAAGAGGCTCAAGAGCTTTTCCAATGCAACCATCTATGACGAAAGAGGGTAAGGGGCAGATCGTCTCATTTCTAAAATAAATGGTTTGAAACAGGGCCAGAATGTATATGCTCCTCTTATCACATGAGCTCTTCTCAGGTAAAATATTACTATTTGTAATATTAGATACATAAAATTTTCTTAAATGGCCTACTACTCAATACTTACTTTTATATTGGTGTCACTATTTGATGATAATCTAGTATATACTATATTTTTAAGCTAAAGGGTGGTGTCACTTGACACCACCCTCTATAACATGTGCCTCTGCCTTGCTAGTCATGTACGGAGGCAGACAATCAGTTATCTTAAAATCTTGCCCCAGTCTATGATCTGGTAAAGTTCAAGTTTGATGGATCAGCAGGGCAGAAGGCGATGGGTTGATATCTAACCAAATCGTAATCTGACATAAGCATTTCTTCAGAGCATCTTAATTTGAAGATTGTTCTTATCTACGATTATCTTGATTAACAAGTATAGACATTGAGGGGTAGAGATCCACTACGTCCTTATGGCAGAAAACCTCTACACCTCACCAATAACCTCTTCTCACTCACCGGACCACATGAATGATATTCATCATATAAATTATATAAAAGTTCTTTTAATTATAGGGCTCACTTAATGAATCAATGCTATTAATCCACGTAACCAATTGAAGAAGTTCTCTACAATCAAGGATGTAGAGAATCTTTGCCCGNTGAGAGATATTTGAGAGAGAGAAATCAATTTCTTCTTTCTACAACAAAGAATCCCTAATTCTCAAACACCCATCTATTATTCTCTACACTAAATCTTGATTAAGCAGAGGTCTAGTTAGAAAGGGAGGAAATTATCAATGGATTCGAAAAGCAAATATATTATGTAATTCAGATTAAGCATCCAGGAAGGACTCCTTAGGAAGGGAAAGAAGGAAACACAACGGTTACAAAGAAGGAAACAACGGTTACATAATAAAATATATTTTCTTTTCTCGGATTACTTCACCCCCTGTAAGACACATAAAGTTAACATATTCATCCATATAAATAAAAGCTTGAGGATTTATTCACAACAAGTCAAGAATTACTGGCATTAACTCGCTATTTGGTTGGAAATTTATAAAGAACAACAAAAAAATTCAATTTTCGTATGAGACAAGATAATTTTAAAGAACAAATTTATTTAGTAAATACCACGGGTGTACAGCTGTAGAGCCTTCATCCCAAATTTTTGGGGCATGCCACATAAATCCTTCTCTCCACTTTTTGTTCAAGGACAGATATATCCATTAAATTAAGAGACTCCAACATCCAGAATTATTGATTTTATAGAAACTAAGGAGGATGGCTGTTACTTGTTTGAAAGAAGAACTTGTCTTTT